TAAACTTCACAGTTTTCTTCCGGAGCGACAAAGAAGTCGTCACGTGACCCGAAGCCCAACCACCATTGGGTCTAAAATGAAAACAAAGGAAAATGATTAATCTAAAAAAAAAAAAAAATCTGAGGCCTGGACTTCTAAGGTCAAACCTTAAAACCAAAGTGAAATTAAATTACTAAATAAAACTGGGGGCGGAGGGAAAGGAGGCCCCTTTGATTTCCCCAGCCAGGCAGCCAGGGAACGGGCAGAGGCGGAGGGTGGGAGAAGCTGTTGGATCGAAGCGTAAATAAAATAGTCCCCAGGCTAATGTGCGACTCTGTTTTCCACGATCCCTGGGAAAACTTCATTTCTTAGTCGTGGTTCCATAAAAGTTTTATCACATTGGAGCGAGGATAGAGAGGGTCTGTCAAAGATGAAATGTCACCGCTGCGTCGCTGGAGTCGATAAGAGCGAGGAGACAGGGCGGCTGAAATATGGAGCTAATTCGTTGAAAGGGAAGCGATGGCGGCTTGCTGAAGAGTTGCATAATTCTAATTGTAAGCGATGCGCAGGCATTGCTTAATTAGGAGCATATATTTGGTGGAAGTGATGGGGGGGGAGGTGTCGGTGAGAATCTTTGCAGGCCCTCAGCCTTAAAGAGAGGGCTGGTTTTCATTTTTATGTTGCATCCTGGCAGTCCAAGGTTAGTAATTACAGTCTTTATGCAACAATAAATAACAATAAAAAAAAAAAGCAACCTGAGTTCTACACCCCATCCCCGCCCCCCCAGTAGGATTTTTAACTGGACTCGGCTCATCCAAGCGGCAAGCAATTTAGCATTGGGTCAGGCTATAATTTAAAGGCATAAGAGCGTGCAAAGTTTGATTGGGATCAAATAACGCTCAAGGGTTTTTCTTTCTCTCTCTCTCTCTCTTTCCCTCTTCCCTGAATAACATTTTCTGAATGATGTAACTAGATGAGGCGCCATGTTTGGCTCTGGGGGTGCAGTGGATTGATCATTTAGCAGGAGAGAGGTAGGCCAAGAGAGAGAATTTAGCTCGAGCTTGAAAACCAGAGCTCTGGCTTAAAGCTGGTTGGCAAACAAGAAAAATAAGGGCGGACTTAGCTTGGTGTCCCCCACCCCTTTTTTTTCTGCGAGATTCCAGCGCTAGCTCAGCAGCCAAAGTCATGGCGAAAATATCTGTGTGTAAGATTCACAGCACAACAGGGGGCGGGGAAGCCGTGTCTCCGGGAAGGAGGGCTCTCTTGGCCCCTTTTAACACCCAAGTTTTCTGCTGTTCTCTAATCTGGCAGTAAAACCTGTCAGCAGGGTTAGGGAGAGCCGTATTTCCTGCAGGGGCAGGCTTGGCCGGCTGGTGCCGGCAGAAGCCCTGGACCCTGCAGCCAGCTCCAGAGCCCGTGCAAAAACTTTCAGGGCTTCTCAAGGGGGTGGCTGAGAGAGAGCCCGCTCTCAGGCCTCACTGCACAACTTGCAGACAACCACTGCTCCGATTCTTCTGAGCCTCTCCCGCCCTCCACCCCCGTCCCCATCCACACCTCCAAATGGTAAATTGTGCTTTCTTTGGAGCTGAGCTGGACATAACCGTCTCTGGCCAGTTTGTCCAGTTCATAGCAGTTCTCTTTTGAGCCTTTGAGAGCTTGCCAGACCGGCCACCCCCTGTCCCCGCAGCCCCCCACCTCCAACTGGCTCTCCTCCAGCCCCAACCTTCCGACGCAGACATCTCGGTCCTTTTTAAATACTCACCACAACCCACGCGGATGAATACTCACCACCACCCACGCGGCTGTTTGCATTGACAGAAAGTTTCTAGTTCCAGCTCCCGGCTGAGTGGCCATGTCTCTGCTAACCAGCCTTCTCCTCCTGGCTGGGCAGCTGGGAGCCAGGAGGGGGAGGGGAGGCCAGAGCCGTGGGAGTTCTCCAGACAAACTTTCCACCCAACTCAGCGCCCTACCCTCTGTCCCCATTCCCCATCTGTTTCCCCAGCTCCCAGAATCACCTTTCTCTTGTGCTAACACCACCCACCCCCAGGCCTTTTAAAGGGATGGGGAATTTCGGCTGTTCCCTCTGCTTTCCCAAAGAGCCAAATTCTTTGATGCCATCCGAGGGAGCTGTCAGGGGGCTAAGATTGATCGCCTCATCTCCTCTCCGTCCCTCTGACCCACTTATTTAAAAATCTTCCCCCAGATCGACTTTTCATTTTCTGCTTTGAGATCTGGTTTGCCACCAATTGTTTGGAACCCTCAGTCTTGTGCCTCCTCCCTGCAGTAAATTACAGCACTCCCTGAAGTTCAGACTATCTGGGTCCCTTTAAAATAAATAACAAACAAACAAAAAAACCCAAAAATTCCCACCGGGGCCAGGAAAGGAGTATCATCTCAGTGGTCATTATTTCCACCCCCTCCATGTTCAGGGAATTCTTTCTTGACAGTGATTTTTTTTTTTAACTAGTACAATGATAAAAATGGGAGGGGGCATCTCTTTGTTCTAGGGGAGAAAATCCATCCCCCCACCCCCAACTTTGAGAATGCTCTAAGTGAAATGAATGGGTGGCCACCTTGGTTCTTGTTCATGTTTCTGGGTATAGATACAGATACAGGCTTGAGGCTTGAGTGGTGCTATGCATTTTAGACCCTGACCCTTGAGGGGGCGGGTCAGAGAGGAGTGCAGATGCCTCCAGGTGAGCAAGGCAGGTGGATAGACATAGGGGCAGGGGCAATGCTGCAGACACTGGGCAGAAGGGGAACTAAGACCACACAGCTATGGAGGCCAGAGGCCCAAAAGGGCCTCTCACCATCTATCTCACTCCTCTGTGTCAGCCTGGGAGTGCCTGTCGATTTTCCAAGATTTATCTGTTGCTTTTGGAGGGTGGGATGGGGATAGTGGTGCTGATGATTGTAAATCTCTTCTC